GGACCATCATTTACTAAATAAACATCATGCTGTATGGAAGAAGACTGAAACTAGAGATTGAGACTAAACTCTTAACTCATCAGGAAACTGTTTACTGAGCTCATAAATAAAGTGGAAGAAGTAGGCTCACTTCCTCATAAGGCTAAGTACAATCATACTTATTTTTTGCAGCTAATGGAGCTGCCCCCTGTTGGCCATTAGAAAGACATTGGTGACACTTCACAGACCCAGAAGTTCTGTCCACTTATTACATATTATTGTCAGTGTATGTGTGACACTTGCTCCGCTGCCTGTGTGACCCCATGCCAAGCACATGGCAGTGTGATGGATGAATACTAGAGTCACTTGTCATGATGACTTGCCATTAAGAGACAATTGATGATAATGACAGCAGCATTTTCACAGGTTAGCAAATATAATATTTCTGCTAGAGAATTGTGCATGTTTGAAACTGAGTTTGTAACATACCAACTCAAAATGTATTTTGCCGTTAGTACTGTGAGTGTTGTTCAGTGTTAAATTAATGTGGTTGGGTTAGGTTTTATTTTTTATCTTTTTTTTATTTTAAATTTGTTGTGTAAATTAATTAATTAATTATAAGTGTTTTCTATTTATATTAATATATTCAACTGTTAAAATATTGTTCACTCTCAAGTTCAAATTTGTCTTAGCAATTAAAAAGCTAATCTTTAATGTCGCTGACTAAAAACCCAAACGATGCCTGACCCTAGTGCTACTGTGAATCAAACCCTGTGTCAATTAACATTTAATATAAAATAATAATAATAAAATATATAATTAATATAAATACTGTTTTATTCAGTCTAGAATACAAAGTATAGTGTATAAGTTCTACATATAGTATTCAAGTACAGTCCTACCTTAGTAGCTCCCCAGGTTTCCTTCCCAAACTCCTCTGCTTCTTTGACATCATCGCTGATCAGTAAATTGTCAAAGATGGTTCCAGACTTAACCTGAACAAAGACAGCAAACACATTAACATTACTCATTTACTCAAATATGAATTATTCTTCTTCTTCTTCTTCTTATCTTATTCAACTTGACTTCATCATTCTAGCACACAGCATGAAACAGTAATTACAGCATTCAGTGGGTGAGTAGTAATCATTACCTGCCACAGATCCAGGCCCAGCACTCCAATGTTATCAAACTTGTACATGGTGGCATCAGGAGTGTATTCTGGGTTGTCGATCTCAGGGTGGACCCAGGATCCCTTGTAGTCAGGGTTGTCAATCTGCTTGGGTTTCCACTCACCCTGAAGACAACACGAAAGGGGTTAGGACTAATGATGGTACTGGTTATTAGACAAGTTCCATGATAGAAGAAATGCCATCAGAATATCACCCCCCTACTCTTAACACTAACACCAGTAAAAGCATTTCCAATGGTGATCAATCAAGCTCCAGCTTGTGTCCTCATCTATAAAAGCCTTACCTTATACTCTGGGTTGGAAATCATAGCAGGTTCCCACTCTCCGTCCATGTCCTCATCCCAGTCGTCAGGCTTCTTTGCATCAGGGTCAGGGATGGTCTCTGGCTTGTCCCACTCCTGGAAGTCCACATGAAAGGGAAAGCAGAGTGCTGTTTGCGTTCCACATATTGACGTGTTTCAGCTATGGAGGGACTAGCCACGGTAGCCAATAGTGCTGAATGTGTATTACATCCACTCGCCACGCAGCTATTGCGATCCTATTAGCTGACTCTGCCGGACCGGAATACAGCATGCGATGCCGACGGAGGACAGTTTGACGACATGGAATACGGTACTTGTCGGGTTTGGCTCCTCTTACCCTGGGGTTGAGTCAGCTAATGTTAGCTGCATGAACTAAGTAGCTAACTGCCGCTAACATTAGCATTAGCGTTAGCTGCAGTTAGCAACTGCCACTGATGGCAACCACTTTTTCAAAATGGTACTCAAAATGTCCATCAGTAGCGCAGTAAGAAAGCTTCAAGACTTTCACATATTGTATGCCCAAACCAAACCAGGATATGTGAAGATGAACCGATGTCCTACCTCAGGCTTGGTGTCGCTGGGATCGTCAATCTTGGCTCTGTCGTCCCAGTTGTTGGGCTTCTTGGCCTCAGGGTCCTTGATCTTCTTCGCAGGCAGCATGTCCCAGTCATCCTCTAGGGAGCCAGACTCCACCTTCTCACTGTCGATCCTCACCTCGTATGTCTGGTCTGGATTCAGGATCAGCGTGTACAGGTGGGTCAGCTCGTCATCCTGAAGAGAGGAGATCAGAGGTGCTTTAGAGTGAGCAAGAAGATTTAAATTCATCTTCACAAAGAAGAAAAATCTAAATGCTTCAACCATGCTTCACGCAGTAGCTACCTTGCATTTGATGTCTTTCTTGATGAGGTGGTTCTGTCCCTTGTAGTTGAAGATCACATGAACCTTCTTTGTGCTGTAGCCACAGATGTCAGGCCCTGGAGACACAGGTCATATAAACATATTTAACACTAGAGGAATCACATTAATGGCTACATTTGAACCAGCTGAATGGAAAAATTACTTGTCAGGAAAAAGCATCAAGCATCCTTCCAGGTCCTTGTGATCTGTGGCCAGGCCTCAGTGCTGCTGCAAAAACAAACATGACTCACCAAACATGATGTAATACTGTGAGTCTCCATGCATATTGCTTTGGTCGAGGTCAGAGGGGAAGATCTTGACGTAGCCACCTCCGCAGTCAATCTTCTGCTCGTGCTTGATGGTAAACTGGATGACCAGGGGCTTTCCCTCGTTGCTGAAGGGCTCGAAGCGGGCAGACAGGGCGTAAAAGCGGGCGTCCTGGCTGGTCTGGAGACCTGGTAAATATGCAGAGGAAAGAAAAGAAAAGGTGGGTTCGTGTCTTGAAAAGGGACCTTATAAATACATTTAATTTCTGTTTAATGTTTAATATTTTTAAATCAATTTGTGTTTAATGAACAAATTAGCAAATTAGAGTAAACCTGTATTCCAGGACAGAAAATGCATCAAGAGTTGGGGGTTAGGAGCCAGTGGCTAGTTTCTGCCCAAGGGCCCCCTAGCAGGTTATTCCAGCCCTGGATAGAACCTCAGCAGTCTTTGTAGTGGCTTTACTGAGAACAGGTCTTTTACAAACCTGTTTTACCTACATTTGCATGATAAGACGCCATGTGCATTCAGACATATCTATTTGTATCAATAAAAGACTCACCTTTATCAGCCTCAGCATCCCCGTAGAACTTCCCAGCACTCAGCTTCCACTCGCCATAGTCTGACTTGTGCTTGGAGTGGACCCACCGGCTCTTCCATCCGTCTGAAACACAACCATGCAACTGGTTACTGCCTGTCTGCTTTCTCCTGTTAGTTAATGCAATATTACCACACCACATTACAAATCTATTACCCTATTGGAGTTGGCTTTTAATCT